TTCCTTCAGAGAGAAAAGAAGAATGAAATTGGTATATTGTCACAAAACTGATGAGGCTGAATTAGCCTTCAAAATAAGACAAAGAAATAGAAGCAAGAGGACAAAAGAAGGGAGAAAGCAAGCCAATTCTACCGAGTTCATTTTGATCTGATTCCCATTGTCTCTCCAGGTCAGACCGACGCTGCACACTACCACAGGAATCCCAACACCTCGCAAGGCAGTGCGCAGAGATTGACCTAGCCCGGGATGTGGCGCAGGGGCTGATCCAAAGCCCACAGAAGGAATAAAACCTCTGCGATGAACACGGGAGGCATGGATCAGGCCCGAACTGAGCAGAAGCCAGTTCCAGCAAGAGCCTTTTTGAACCTGCAAGGACCCGGGCCGAGCTCTGAGCTGCTCTCTTCAGCCAGCAGTTGCTAACGACGGCAGCTGCTGTGTAATTACTGATCGTCCTGTGAAGTAAGACGGTATGTGCAAACCCCAGTGAGGAAACCATCCACCACGGACCTGGCAGTAAAGGTTAGAAGACAGAAGTTTGTATTTGTTCATATTACCTCCCCAGGCTGAATAATTAACCAGGATTCGACAGCACGTACCTCTCAGCTATCCGTGTCATTTTCCGAAAACATGGGATCCAGAATGCATTCGCTTTAGACAGAACCATGCAATTATACTCACTTTTTTCTTTATTTTTTTAGGGGAAGACAGGAGAGAGATTTGGATGTACACCAGGAACAGCCACGAGGTCAAGAGATTGATCATTAACCAGTCACAAATATTGACAGAGGAGAGACAACCTTCTGGATTCTATGAAACACATCTGCAACCTCAAATCAGAAGAAAATTGTGTTTCTACACACATACATGTGTGTATAAAAAAAAAAAAGTCCTTACAAACGTCCTCCAACAACGAAAGCCACTTCTTTGCAACAATTTTCTTCAGGAACGTTTGGAATTTTTAAGAGAAGGTTTCTGACACTCCATCACCTTTCAGCAGGTAAGACCAGCTGATCCGGAAAATGCACCAGCTGCTCTGTAAACATCTGTTGAAATACGCAGAGCTGCCAGCACGTAGGAGGATCCACGGCATCACCTGCAGGCAGGCAAATACTGCCCTGTAGCAGTCACAGCTATTCACTGACACTACGGTTTCTGCCTTTAATTAGACCCACGGTTTGCTGCCTTGGAACACAATGATGTTTTTTCCTTGTAATTTCATGTCTAGCAGCCCCCGCCGTCTCAGAGCACGCATTCTTGGTGCAGGCCCTGGCTGGAAGGCTCCTGCTCAAAGCATTATTCTTTGACATTCGTTGGTCCTTAAATTCAGTCCCAAATATAAAAAAGGAGAGGGGAAAAAAGAGAAGGAGAGAGACAGAGACAGCGACGCAGAGAGATGGCCGGCTTCGGTCTCAGCTTACCTCCAACATGAAGCCCTCAGCCTGTTGCTTCTTCTATGCACGAACCGACTTCAGCACTTGCTTAACAAGCATGCAAGCAGCCTGTAAGTCAACAAGACTAAGTCCACATGTTTGAGGTGTTAAACCTCTTTGCTGATAGCGTATTACATTTCTTATAAATTCTATTACAATTTTGTTGTACCTGAGGGTTGTTTTGTTTAACAATCTCATCACAAGAGCAGACTGATGTTCTTCACTGATCCACACATGGGTCCAAATCCTGACTGAGATATTGGAAACACACATCGCTACAGCAGAGTTGGTTTCACTTTTTTTTTCTATAAGATTAATTATATTTAGCAGGCTTAAGTGCTAAGATTAAAAACAATCATAAACTGTGATTCTATTAAACTTCATTTTGACTACTGCTACTTCCTATGAACTTATTGGTGCTACGTGTCTTTATCTGCTGATATACACACAGAAATACCGATACAGATGCAAACACACGTGCACACACATCTATTTATCAGTAAGCATTAGTAATGCTAATATAGCCTGCAGCTGATTGCATTCACTAGAATAGGAATGAACAAAAGTGTTTGCTTAGCTTGCTAATTAGAAGAGATTTACAGACCATAGGATAAATATGGTTCCAAGCAGGCGAAAGCTTGGAATTAAACCTCTTTTTTTTTTTTTTTTTTTTTTATTAGAAGCAAAATTCCCCCGGATTTTTAAGGAGATTTTTTTTTGGGGCGGGTAAAATCAGGCACCGAGGGCGCAAGGAACAGAAACCACAGAGAGGTTCTAGTCGACCTGCTGAATCAACTTCATCTGTGAGCAATGGACCAAGATGTGAATGAGTGGAGGCAGTGATGATACTATAAACATTTCATTGCGTGGAAAGAAAAATTATACAAACACAGAAGAAGCCAAAACACTCACTGTGGATAATATGTTACAGTAAAGCTGAAATGACAGAACTGCCCCACCGTGTCGATTTGTAAAACACTTTTCTCTGTCCCGTCCTGCCCCCAGCCCCAACCAACTCAGTCATTTCACCCTTCAAAGATGGAGTCATCTGACCACGGGCTATCTTGTTTTCTACAATGCTGTCCAGCATCTCAGCGTAACGGGGTATTATTTCGTGCCAATAAGGCCTAAGTAGGACCATACTACAAATTAACTACATCAGCTGGAAACTAACCAACGTAAAAAAGAAAAAAAAAATTTAAAAAAGGTACCAAGGAAAACAGTACACAAGGTTAACATATACTCAATATTTAATACTGAAGATCTGACAGTACATTACACTGCATACTGTCACTAGCACGTCGCCGCAGTATTCCAGACTCTCGGTATCAGAATCAACCCTTCCAGGAAGCTGACATCTCATCTATGTGGTGCTGGATCCACTCAAGATACTGACTAACTTTGGTGTAGACTCCAAATTTCTCCTTTCTTCCACAGCCTTCGCCCCAGCTCACCAGTCCCACCAAAAACCAAGTTTCCTTGTACTTAGTGATCATAGGGCCTCCACTGTCCCCACTGCAGGAATCTTTTCTGTCTCCTGAGCTCCCAGCACACAGCATGTTGTCAGAGATGGCAAATCTCATCGCCCGGGCACACTCGTTCCGGGGAACCATGGGGATCTCAATGTAACTGAGGAAAGTAGAGTAATTATTGTTACCATCACTTGTGCTGCCCCAGCCAGTGACCACCATCAAGTTCCCACTTCTCGTCAGCTCCTGTTCTGCCAGGTCGCGGGTGGGAAGGCAGATAGGGAGCGTGTATTTGTTATACATCACGGGCTCAGCCAAGTGCAGCATGGCTATATCATTATCGGAGGTGGTCTTGGTGTAATTTTCGTGGGTTACACACTTATCAACCCAAATGGTTTGCTCGTCTGCCTCAATACGGAGACGGTGGAATTTACCTGGAAGAGCAAACAAGAAGATGACAGATGCTACCGAACCTTCCTTCACCTTGAACACCAAAGCATCTGGATTACACTGGGCTTTAGGACTCTACTTCGCATTTTTAGTTCCCTTCTAATATAGACAATTGCTTATTTTATGTTATAGGTTAACAGTGTTCTTACTAGATGGACAAATCTGTAAACTCTCCATATCTACCTAAATCACGACTACATACAGTACTAAATGAATTAGTACCCTAGATTTATGGTAATTAGTTAAGAAATTGAAATGTCTGTGTATTGCCCTGTTGTTGATATTACAGTACACTTGTGCAACTTGAGAGATCTTCTTTGGGAGGAAAACAACCTTCCTGGAGTCAGTGTTAAAAGCCGGGAGAGCAAGCATACAGCAAAGCAAGACATTTACAACAGCACATGAGCTTTATGCTGTCTAACCGGTGCCCGAATGACTGAACTTCAGGATTTATAAGATGAAGATGACTGACTGGTAAGGCTGTTCCTTTCTGAAATCTTGCATCTGTATTTTAAGGAATTTTTGACTACTTAAGACTTCTCAGTTGCTATTTGTGCTACATGATCACGGCCGCTTTGTGGGCCAAGCAGTTATGGAACAGTAAGCAGGAAACTAAGCTGAAAAGGGCCAGAAAGGCAAGAACAAGTCATCTGTGATACAGTGGAAAAGGAAAGACAGAAACAGATCTTTCGACTGATTATCAGTGGCTGTCACATTTCTGAAGCGTGCTGTCGATTCATTGAAGCTTCACAACAAGGCTGACTTCAGTCTGTACTCAATAAAAACACTTCTTCAGAGAACTGTCCCCTCTGCACCTTCAAGCTGCAGGCAGGCACACATCCGAGCGCACGTGGCGCAGAACACCCAGGCTGGCACCTCACCCCTGCCCATGCTGCAGGGGTGCAACCCAAGTGCCCTCTCCTTCTCGCTCTTTCTGTAAGCGAGCTGGAAGTTGCTCTTTATCTCCTTCTTTTTAAATGTGTGCTTCACAAAACCATCCTTCAAATTTGCACCCCCACCCTCCCGTTAACTTTTGCCTTCTTTCAGTCTTATTTGAATTCCTCCAGATACAAACTCTAAAGCCGAGCTGCTCCAACTTTGCGTGACCGAGGTCTTCCGAAGTCACTTGCTTCAGTGTAAGCTCCCCTGCGCTTGAGCCTGTCAATGATGGGTTGCAGCTGCTTGGGTTTTTTCCTGTAAAAGAGTTGGAGTCTCCAAGCGTAGGGACCTTATGATCCACAGTAGTTCCAGAAACAGATTCTCAAAGGACTCCAGAAGTCCAGCTTTGAATCTTGGACTTTTAACCAATTATTTCCGAGTCTCTCCTCTTGCTCCTCTGCAGACAGCCAACGGACATTTCATACGCGGCCACAGCCAACAGCACAGATGGCTGCAACTGCTCTGATGGGCAACTGGATTAAGCAGTACCAGAAGGACTTGCTCTTACCAGGCCACCACTACCAAATCTGTGTTTTCTTGCCATCGTGACCTCTCTTCTTCGTGGCGACGGTGTCGGTAGCACCCTTGGAGCACATTTCCCTGCCACCCACCCTGCAGCTGCTGTGGCTGGGGGCTGACTGGCAAATAAGGGCAGGGATTTATTCCTGTCTTCACAGAAGCAAAACTCTGCTTTAGGCCTCAGAAATGACTCTGGACTCAAACACTATCAGATCATCTCCTCTGAGGAAGGCAGTTTAGCTGGGTAGGAGCATACTTTCTGCCAGGCTTCACAGGCTCTGCATACAAGCATGGCCATGAACTGCCTGTATCCTGGGACATCTCTGAGCAAGCACGTGACAGCATTCGCACCAGCGCTACTGCAGCAAAGGCTCACCCCGCCCCAGCCCAGGAGAAGACCCTTTTGACCTCTGGTCATGAATACTTCCTTTCTCAGTTGAGTTATCCACCCCAGGAGTTTCAAATTCCAGACGTCTCATCCACACCTGGATGTACGGAACCTAGAGGCTGGGTGAAATGCATCTAGTCCTTTCTACACAACAGGGAGCATCATGATCTTGTTGCTGGCACAAAAATATTAACTATGAAGTTCTGCATAAACAAGGAAGTGCGAGACCTGTTCTCTGAAGGGAGAGACAGTATTTTGAATTGAATCATTACATTCACCTATCTGCTCGATTTTCTTGGAGCTCCAAACACACAACTGGATGCTTTTAAGCTGGAGATGCAGGAACAAGGCCACAAACAGAAAAACTGGGTTGTTCTCAAATCCATCTTCCAAAACTTCAGCTACTCCGAGATCTAACTTT